TTTTTTTTTTTTTTTTAATAAAATTTCTTGTTTCTCAATCTTGTAACAAAGTCACATATTTGAGTGGGAGTGTACATTTACGCGAGAGAGTGGCAAGGAAAAAGAGGCAAAAGACGATGGGAAACCAACCCTGGCGAGCATTAGTGGTGTGCAAATTACTGGACGACACATCCGCATTCGAAAAAAGGATAACGCGATGACGAAATTGAAAATGGGAAATACCACCGGCCGGATAAGGATATCGCGGTCGAGATCATTCGTCGAAACTTCGGCGGCAACGTACGACGTGGACGCGACCATGGGCTAATACCTTACGGTTTACTGTGCTCTGTAATTATTACCGACGACGACGAGCGTCGACGCGGTTAGCGCTGTTTGCGCGCTCCGTCACCGAAAAAACTCCCGCTTCGAGTTAGCTTCGTTCTTCCTCTTTGTCAGGCTGGTTTTCATTACCGCGTTTCGTTCCGCTCGTCGATTTCACTCTACCCTCCTCTGCCCCCCCGCCTTGCCCCGTGTTTCTCGTTCCTCCTTTTCCAATTCTCTTTGCCTTCGTTTTTCCGTCGCGCGAGAATCACCCCTCCCTCTGTTTTTTTCGTTTGTTAATGAAAATGCGATGAGACAATTTAAAATCGGTGCTGATAGTAGAGGGGTATTTCTTATAGCTAGTTCAGGGATTATACGAAAGAATAAAAAGTCGAAAAGAAAGAATTACGTTTCTCTTCTTTTTTTTCATTCGGGATTTCGTTTCTGGGTGAATCATGTTTCGAGTGATAGAGCTAGGTATATATTAAAATAAGAAAAGAAATTTCGTTACATGTATATTTTAGTTTTCGAGTTACAGATGATTGAAAAAATTGTTCGATATGTCCATCTTGTGCTTTAACACGTATCGCATATTGCAGTGTGTATATTTAAACTTTATTGTTTATAAAAAAATATCCATCGATACGAGTTAATCTTCGTCCCTCATTTTTCCTCAACATAATGATAAAAAACTAATATAATGAAAAGATAAATAATTATCTGTATATTGAATGCATAATTGTGTTGTAATAATTGGAAACGAATATTATCTTCAACTTTGACGGCATATTTATTTTGTTACCGTAAACATCAAAATATACATGCTACATATTTGAATAATAATTTATATTATATTATGGAGCTTCATTTTTGTATCTGTACTTACGTGCTGCAAAATAATATAATGTTTTACAAGAAAAATATATCAAATTATTATAATTATTAAATGCTAAAGCGGGCGTAGTACGTGTCGTAGCACAAAACTTCCTTCAATTATTTATAACTTGAAAATTAAAATATTGCTTATTATCTATTAAAAATTTACTAAGAAAGTAAATTTTTTTTACTTATTTAGTGTATAGATTCACCATCGAAAATATGAACATTTAAAAATTAATCTGTAGTTAACTTGATTTTCTCGAAAACGGAATATTAAATGAAAAAAATGTTATTCTTTCTCTTATTTTATTATGTAGAATCACTTTCTGGTTGATTGTACCATGATTACATGCTCTATAAAATAAAAAATCTATAAAATAAAAAAATAAAAAAAAAATAAAAAAAGATAAGAAAAATATCATGTAAACGTATATCATTGGAAACTTAAGGAAGTGAGTTAAGGAATTATAACAAAAAGAAGATACATGAAGATATGTGAATGAAGATATAGGCATAGATTTAAAGACCAAAGTGATTAACCCTACTTTTCAAATTTTGTATGCTTAAGTTTATATATTTTCGAATTGCTTAAGTTTGTATATTTGAAATAAATTTCCTCAATTATCTAACATCATTAAATGACAAAAATTTTTTTGAATCATGAAACAATAAATAATTTATTTCAGAGACCAATGTGAAAATTTTAAAGATACATTATTTTATGCGTTTCGTATTTCATTAATAGACTGCTGATCTTTACGCAATCTTATATCTTTATGAACACAATCAAAGAAATGAAGCCTAAGAAATTTATTTCCCCTGTTAACTGCTATAAAATATTATTTGACATATTACATATATTTTTCCATATATTAATTTTCTGCTGTTTTTTCTTAAATTTTCCACAAATGCATAAAGTCCTCAGTCATTATGATGGAAGCCTGCAATAATATAACAATACATCCTGCAACATTCATCCGAGTTTAGAATTTCAAAGAAATTTAAAAAAATGACGTACAATATTTTTATTCGCATTTGGCAACTGAAATTGGCTCATGTGACATTTTTTTCTTATATTGCCCGCAAAATATACTGACAACATTCGGTCGGGGAGAAAAAAATTCAGACACTCCGTAGAGGATCGCTGCAGAATTCGAAACGCGGAATAAGCTTATAAATATAAATAGAAACGGGGGAGCGAACCTTTGTTTAACTGATAATCGTAGCACAGAGCAGCACGGCGCCGAGTGACAGAGAGAAAGGGGGAGAGGGATTTACCGGTAGTTGACGGAGTGCAATAATTTCGTTATTATGGAAAGCAAAGTGGATGCTTCCATGCTTTCACCATGGTTTAAACGCGATAATCGGCACCGCTGCTAGCACTTTTAATTATAATGTTTGCAACCAGTAACAAGATTTCCTACGATGAAGTGAATTACGGCTCGAATACGCTATAAAAATGCCACGCTAAGAATATTATTGTTTCTCTCCATTCGACGACATAACGTGGCAACGATTTGATTATTGGAGCACTTTATATGCGAGCCGAGCATTTGCAATTTAATGTCATAAGGCATTTATTGAAGTTATAATTTTGTTTACAATTTAGATTATGTCACATTTAGGAATGTCGGAATTGTGTTCATTCAATATTTGAGGATTGGTTCTTTTCAGTTGCTATGATTAGCGATTGTTTGATATCTTTGGGAAACTTATTATATTCTGCATTAAGAAAAAAATGTTTCTTTTCTAAATCGATCTGGATCCATCCTTCGTGATAATGCAAGATTCTATATTTTACAAATTAGTGTACAGAAACTAGATTTTCATCTTTTCAGAAGTTTGGAATCATTCTTGTATCAGAAAATATTCAGAGACAGCAATTCAACTTCTAAAAATATCGTTTCTATTTAATTTTTGTACAGAAATTATTTTTAATTATAAGAAATTTTTATTAGAGAAATTTATTTACTTATAAATTTGTTATGATCTAAGTTTAATTATAAATTTTTTTAGTTTAATTGTAAAATTTCTATTTTTATTTTTATATAAAAATTTATTTTAATTGCTATTTTAATTAGAATCTGCTGGAAAAATGTTGTGCAAGCAAATGGCTATTAAAGTCGAAAATAATTTTTGAAAATATTCAACATAAACTTTTTATGTAAAA